CTGGTATAGTAGCGTAGTCAGGAGGAACATGCTAAGTATTTGAGAGTTGTGTTGCAGAGATTGAGGGAGGAGAAGCTTTATGCAAAGTTCTCCAAATGTGAGTTTTGGCTCAGTTCAGTGGCTTTCTTAGGGCACATGATGTCCAGTGAAGGTATTCAGGTTGATCCGAAGAAGATAGAGGCGGTTCAAGTTGGCTCAAATCATCTTCAGCCACAGAGATTCACAGCTTTCTTGGATTGGTGACTTATTACCATCGGTTTGTTCAGGGATTTTCATCTATCACATCACCCTTGACCAAGTTGACTCAAAAAGGTTCTCCATTCAGGTGGTTAGATGTGTGTGAGGAGAGCTTTCAGAAGCTCAAGACTGCCTTGACCACAGCTCTAGTGTTAGTTTTGCCATCAGCTTCAGGTTCATATACCGTGTATTGTGATGATTCGAGAGTTGGTATTGGGTGTGTGTTGATGCAGGAGGGTAGAGTTATTGCTTATGCTTCTCGTCAGTGGAAGCCTTATGAGAAGAACTACCTTGTTCATGATTTGAAGTTGGCTGCCATTGTTCACACGTTGAAGATCTAGAGACATTATTTGTATGGTGTGTCTTGTGAGGTGTTTATTGATCATCGTAGCCTCCAGCACTTGTTCAAGCAGAAGGATCTCAATTAGAGGCAACGGAGATGGTTGGAGCTGCTCAAAGAATATGATATCACTATTTTGTACAATCCAAGGAAGGCCAATGTGGTAGCCAATGCCTTGAGTAGGAAGGTGGTGAAAATGGGTAGTTTGGCGTATATTCCTGTTAGGGAGAGACCTCTTGCAGTTGATGTCCAAGCCTTGGCCAATCAGTTCATGACGTTAGATATTTCGGAGCCCAGTTGGGTATTGGCTTGTGTAATTTCTCGGTCTTCTTTATTTGATCGCATCAGAGAGCACCAGTATGATGATCCTCATTTGCTTGTCCTTAAGGACAGAGTTTAGCACGACGATGCCAGAGATGTGACTATTGGTGATGATGGAGTGTTGAGGATGCAGGGCCGGATATGTGTGACCAATGTGGATGGGCTTCGGGAGTTGATTCTAGAAGAGGCCCATAGCTCGCGGTACTCCATCCATCCGAGTGCCGCGAAGATGTATCAAGATCTGAGACAACGTTATTGGTGGAGAATAATGAAGAAGGACATTGTGGTATTTGTAGCTTGGTGTCTCAATTGTCAGCAGGTGAAATATGAGCATCAAAGACCGGGTGGCTTGCTTCAGTAGATGGATATTCCAGAGTGGAAGTGGGAGCGGATCACTATGGATTTTGTTATTGTACTTCCACATACTTTGAAGAAATTTGATGTTATTTGGGTGATTGTGGATCGGCTGACCAAGTTCACACACTTCATTCCTGTGTGTACTACCTATTCTTCAGAGCGGTTGGCAGATATATATATTCGGGAGATTGTTCATTTGCATGGTGTCCTAGTTTCCATCATTTCAGATAGAGGTGTACTCAGTTTACTTCACAGTTTTTGAGGTCTGTACAGTGAGAGTTGGGTACTCAGGTTGAGTTGAGCACAGCTTTTCACCCTCAGACAGACGGGCAGTCCGAGCGCACTATTTAGTTATTGGAGGACATGTTGCGCACTTGTGTCATTGATTTCAGAGGGCCATGGGATCAGTTTCTACCGCTCGTAGAGTTTGCTTATAACAACAGTTATCAGTCGAGTATTCAGATGGCTCCATATGAGGCTTTGTATGGGAGGCGGTGTAGATCTCTGGTCGGTTGGTTTGAGCCGGGTGAGGCTAAGTTATTGGGTACCGACTTGGTGCATGATGCTTTAGATAAGGTAAACGCGATTCAGGAGAGGATTTGTACAGCGCAGTCGAGACAAAGAGTTATGCAGACAGAAAGGTTCGGGATGTGTCCTACATGGTTGGTGAGAAGGTTCTATTGAAGGTTTCACCCATGAAGGGTGTTATAAGATTTGAGAAGAAGGGTAAATTGAGTCCTCGGTTCATTGGGCCTTTGAGGTGCTTCAGAGGATTGGGGAGGTGGCTTATGAGCTTGCTTTGCCACCCAGCTTATTGAGTGTGCATCCGGTATTTCATGTCTCTATGCTTCGGAAGTATATTGGCGATCAGTCTCATGTTTTGGATTTCAGCACGGTTCAGTTAGATGATGATTTGACATATGATGTGGAGCTAGTAGCTATTTTAGAGCGTCAGGCTCGAAAGTTGAGGTCAAAGGATATAGCTTCAGTGAAAATGCATTGGAGAGGTCAGCCTGTGGATGAGGCTACTTGGGAGGTCAAGCGGGAGATGTAGAGTAGATATCCTCACCTATTTGAGGCTTCAGGTATGTTTCTTGACTCGTTCGAGGATGAACGTTTTTTAAGAGGGGGAGGATGTAACGACCTGACCGGTCGTTTCATGAGTTACCGCAACGTTTCCCCCATTTCTGCTTCTTATTGTCTTGTTCAGTTGTATTATGTGATATCGGGTTGGTTGGTTCGGGTTCAGAGAGATTTTGTAAAGGAATGAGACACTTAGTCTCTTTTGAGTAAGGTTAGGTTGGAAAAGACAACCGAATGTTGACTTATGTGAAAAAGGATTCAAATGTGAATTTTGATGGTTCAGATAGCTTCAGGAGGTGGTTTGGGACTTATGAGCATGATCGGAATGTGTTTTGAAGGTCCAGAGTAGATTTAGGTTTGAATTGGCGAAATTGAAATTTTGGTCTTTTCCGGTTGATAGGTGAGATTTTGATATAGGGGTCGGAATGGAATTCCAGAAGTTGGAGTAGGTCCGTTGTGTCATTAATGATGTGTGTGCAAAATTTCAGGTCATTCGAACAAGGTTTGATAAACTTTTTGATCGAAAGCGGAATTTGGAAGTTTTTGGAGTTCTTAGGCTTGAATCCGTGTTAATTTGGTGTTTTGATGTCGTTCTGAGCGTTCAGAAGGTGGGAACAAGTTTTAATGATGTTATGGGATATGTTGGCATGTTTGGTTGAGGTCCCGAGGGCCTCGGGTGAGTTTTGGGTGGTTAAACGGATCAAATTCATGTTGGAGAAGTTGCATATTTCTGTTGTTGGTGTTGTAGACATTTGGCCTTCGCGTTCGCGAAAGGGCTCTCGCATTCGCGAAGGGATCTGATGTGAGGCAGGAAGTTTGTCCTTCGCGTTCACGATGTTGATCTCGTGTTCGCGAAGGGATAGGTTCTGTGTTCATCGGGAACGCGGTGAGTATCCCGCGTTTGCGAAGAGTAGATGGGAGCAGCTTGGTCCAGGTTCATTTGTGCTTCGTGTTCGCGAGCTAGAAGTTGCATTCGCGATGGGTTGAGGAGCTGAAGCTTCGCGTTCGCTTTCAGGATGTCGCGTTTGCGAAGAAGGATTTAAGTGGTCAACGGATTTTGTGCTTCGCGAACGCGAGGCGTTGAGCGCGTTCGCGAAGAAGGAAAGGGTCACTTGGGCAGAATATTTAAATAGTCATTGTCCGCGATTTTGGGTCTGAATTTCACCATTTTTGAGCGATTTTGGAGCTTTTTGAGAAAAATTGAAGAGGGAATCAAAGGGAAATACTTGGAGGTAAGATTTATGGACTTAATACTCGATCCTATTGTGATTTCTACCTAATTAAACATGAAATTTATGGAATCTAAAGCCTAAAATTAGGGAGTTAGGGCTTGAAACTTGAGACTTTGATTTGTGGATTTGAGGGGTTGATTGTGGTCGGATTTTGATGTATTTGATATGTATGAACTTGTGAGAGTGTAATGATTTCAGTTTTGTAATTTTTATCGGAATCCGAGACGTGGGCCCGGGGTCGGGTTTGGCCAATTTTGGGATTTTTGATGTAAATTAGCTATTTTCAAGTGGACTTTGTTCCCTTAGCATATTTTGATGGTATAAATCTATTTTTGGTCAGATTTGGAGCATCATGAGGCCGAGTCAAGAGGCAAAGGCATCGCGGGCTAGAGTTTGGACCGGATAGAGGTAAGTAATGATTGTAAATACTGTCCTGAGGGTATGAAACCTCGGATTTTATATTGTTGTGCTACTTTGAGGTGACGCACATGCTAGATGACGAGCGTGGGTCGTGCACCGTTTGGGATTGTGAGCCGTATGATTGTTAAATCGTGTATTTGATTGAAAATTATTTGATATCATCATGTTTTGGAAAGTATTATCTTATTTTGGGTTGAATGTCATATTTAGGCCTCGTGCCAACTGTTTTGGACCCTTTGGGGAATTTTTACTACTATTCCTCACTGTTTTGGCTTCATATTTGTACTCAGTCATGTTGTTTTCTACTGTTTTTATAACTTTGCTATATTTACTCCGTTTTGATATTTTAAATGATATTTTGGGCTGAGCATCATGTTTTACTGTTGCCCGAGTGACTTGATAGATTTCTGACTCAGTGAGGCCGAGGGCCTGTGTTGTGAGGATATTATGGGATCAGGCTGCGTGCCGCAGCAGTGTTCACTACAAGAAATATTGCTTTTAGTGGCGACTAAAGTCGCTACTAAAGACTATAAAGTCGCCACTAATTGCCTTTAGAGGCGACCTTGGGATCGCTCCACCTAAATCCATTACTAAATGTTATCTGTAGCGACATAATGAAGTCGCCACTGAAAACCAGATATTACGACGACTATGCTCGCCCCTAAAAGTAAACAATATCGCTAACAAAATGGCTCCTCAATCTGTGTTTCTAGGAAGGTCTCCACTAAAGAAAGACTTTAGTAGCGAGTGCAGCCGCCACAAATAGTATCTATTGCAGTGATTCCAATCGCCACTGGTAGCTAAGGACTTTTTGTGGCGCTTCTCGTCTCCACAAATACTAATTATGTCTAGCAACAAGGTATAGTCGCCACTAAAGCTATTTTTCAATAACTAACCAATACTATAGATTTATTTAGGTATATTTCTATCAATTGCCTACAAATACTAGAAGCATCAAATTCAACAGACACCAAAAATATTTCTCAACACAAATACTATTAATACTTTCATTACTATATAGTCAATTAGCTAATACACTGCCCAATACTTTCTTGTTTTTGCCATTGTATGCATTTACACATGGCAAAGGAAAAACAATACATTAAATGTCTTCACACTTTAAACTACTCCTTGGTCGATGCCTTTTGACCACAAAAAAAAAAAAAAGAAAAAACTAAACATTAAATGTCTTTAAACTCCTTGATCATCGTCATTTGTGATTGTTCAAGAACCTTGTCCCTGTTTTCAAGAGGAAAAAATAAAAGATCAAAATCCAACAAAGAACAAAAATTCCAACAAGATGAACTATTTAGTTACATGGACGCTGTGTTATAAGTTAAAAGACACTTTTGCATTTCCACATAAATAATATCTTAAATAGTTTTGCATTCTCAAAGTGGCAGTAGATTTTAGTCATCCAACACCATTTTTTCTGGAAGTGGAGGGTGCTCACCACTAGAGCAACCCACTCTTGTCAACATAGTATAGTGGGAAAATAGCATTTAGTCATCCAACACCATTTTTTCTGTTGTTACGAACTGTGTACATAATAACCTGAACTGTACATAATAACCTGAACTCTTACTGGTTTATCTTGAGTTGACATGTTCCATGTGCCATAGGCTGAGTTCTAGATATAAATGCTATTGTCGTCCCACAAAACTAAAATTGATCAAACATAAATGAGTATATATCAATAAAACTAAACCAACCCACCCCTCACTACCAAAAAGGAACTGCATCCATGAAATATAAGAAGTGCAATGAAATAGGAGAATGTAGATCTTAAGAATTAGCAGCAATAAGCCTCTATGTCTTGTCATCAAAATACCTTTAGAACTAGCTTCACCTTTAATTTTCTATTGCATTTACTCATCACCTGGCTTGACACTTCCATGTCAAATGGGTATGATATGTATGTTAATAATTCAAACAAATGGTTCAATATCTATTTTGACGGAGACATTTTGGTTGTAAGAGGAGATTTCATACCAATAGATGTCAAATTTTTAAATACTACAAAAGTTCATGTAGTAGAGAGGTCTCCTAGTCATGAGGAGTTGCATGATCAAAGAAAAGTAAGTTCAGCGAAATAATAAGTAGAAAATCAGAACTTATGTCTCTAGGTTGAAATGTACAACAGGTTACCAATGTTAAGGACAACGCACTTCTATAAATCTCTGAAGAAACAACCGTAGAACGACAGTGGTAACTCACAAGCAAAAACTAGTAGAATTATTGCACGCGCATAGGTAGAAGATAATATGATATTTTCGTGGAATCATCGATAAACAAACTTTTTTCACCACTAGCCTTAAATATCAATAGATGTATAAAAGAACTCCTTGTAACAACATGATTAATCCAATCAGTTTTATTCATTAAAAACAAACCAAAACTACTTTCCTGTCAAGTTTTTACACTAACTACAACTACTTCTCTTTCGACAAACCATAAAATCAGAACCAAAAGAGATTGCCTCCTTCGCATATTCATTTGGCAGTCACTTCATAAATCGTGAATCTGATTTTAGTGGTCAATGAAGTGCGACGAGAACCATAAGGTCTCACGTTCAAATCTTAGAGAAAACAAAAAAAAATGGGTAAATTTTTTTCCATACGTCGAAGCCTTGGTGAACAGAGTTACCCGATACATATGTTGATGGGAGATAATAAGTACCCAATAAAATTCAAGATACGTACTAGCTGGCCTGAATACACCATCATCAAAATAACAAATAATATAAATAAATCGAAAATCTTATTCAAGCGCAACCACAACTCTAGTAAAGATTTATCACACATATAGTATTGCCACCAAGATTAATACAACAGCAAAATCTACAATAAATTAACCCCCAAATAAGATAATTAATTGAAGATTCTGGGAAGCTAAAATACAAAAAATTCAAGAATCCACGAAAATCACTTCCTCTCAATTCTTTTGGAGTGATTTAAACAATTAATTAGTTCAATAGAATAACCCCCACATTAGAATTAGAAGCTAAACTATGAAAAACCAAGTTAATTTTAAGAGAGAAGAAGGGCACACATTACCTGTTGGAAGCAGCAGCCGCAGTAGCTCGAGCAAAATGCTGGCTGTTGCAGAAGGTTATATTATAAATAAGTGCATAACAGTTGTATACAATTTTATCACTTTTAAATTATTTCAAAGAAGAAACACAGGATATGAGCTGAGGATTGAGCAACAGATAATTCATCTAGTCATTTTTAGATGTATTTATATAGTGGTAATTATTTATTATAGTAAGCGGCGTAAAGTCTTATGAATTTTGTGTTGATTGACATGGAGGATGTTACCAAGATTTCTTTATATACACAATGTCATTGGGATCCAAACAGTTGTACTACCATTCCAATAGAGAATCTACATATAAGAGATGCCTCAAAATCAGAGAGAGAAACTACATATAGTTCTGATAGCATGTCATCTCATGTTAACATTACGTATATTTCAAACAAATAGACGAGACAATTCATGAAGCAAAATCCAGAAATTGCACCAGGATATAAAACTAGAATACAATTTCATAGGCCTTGTTGACAAATCCAGAATTGACATGAACATATAACAAGCCAATAGCTTATTCTCAAGAAAACAAAAATTAAAGAAGGAGAAGATGAAAAGAAAATAAGAAGGAAGAATTGTCAAGAAGAGTACAAAATATTAACAGTACATGTTGCATTTTGGCTATGATAGTAGCCAATTGCTCTTGGATCCTCTTATCTACTTCTGCGTTCACGTGTTCATGCACATCCTCCAACTTCTTTTGCAACTCTTTTTCCAACTTCCTTTGCAACTATGTTCTATATTCCTTTGCAACTCCTTAGCCATTTGTTCACGTTCTTCTAGCAATCTGAGTCTATTTTCATAAAATATTTTGAGTCTGTCAGGCATTTTAAACTAGAATCCACGATAATTTACTAAGTCCAACTTTCATAAAATAATATTTTCTACCACAAAGTATAACATTTAATTTATAGCCACACGCAAAAATTAGGTAATAAAGGATGATGTAATTCCTACTAAGAAATATCATACATGCTAACAGTTCTTGTCTCGTCTAGGACTAGCTTTGTTTGCTTCTGAAGATGATCAAAAAAAGCCAACAGGCTTGAAAGATAAGAATTCCATTGCAGCAACCTCACATGGCTAACCATACCTTAATCATAACTAATTAGCGAAAACTCTATGTATAATTTGTCATATAAGCTATGATTATGTTATACTAAAATGAACTTCTTTACAACAAATAATACATTTGAAACCAATAAAAGATAAAAATATACAGACATTTCACCACCACAATCAAATGGCACACTCAAACTATATTTGGAAAATGCTATCAAATAAAAAGTAAGACAAGTCCTTGCTACTTGTAACACTGGAAAAGGTCCACTTTAAAAGCATGGAGCAGGTTCCTTCTTTTTGTTTCATCTTTTTCTATATAAATAAATGCTAAATTGTCTATTTTTGTTTCTCATCTAATATACTGGAGCAGTTAAATATTGAACACACAGAGATTTATACTCCATAATACACTATAAGAGCATCAATATCTAACATCATCGCAAGTAGTGTGACATAAGTCATATCCAATAGTATCCAAATCCCTACACATCATACTTTAGTGCAAATCCTAGCTCCAAAATAAGGCAGCCACATACTAGGGAAACAACATAAAGACGGTTTCATCATTAGGGATGGTGAATTTTCAGAAGAAAAAAAATGCAAGGCTTTGAAAGTTGTTTGAAAAGACTTGATTTCATAAAGAACATAAATTAAATAAGCTGAGTACAAGACCTGACTCACATGCTTTCCTTCCTGAATTATTTATAAGTATGACATTATTTTCTAAATATACAAGAAAAGACAGAGTAGAATGTTTGGGTGAAGTGAAAAACGCTCATAAGTGTATAAAGTAGAGATTAAAGAAAGAAAAAATGATCATGTTCTACAAATTAAATACATCGGAAAATTTCTTAAAACTCAATATTTCAAAAGGAACAGAATCCATCTTCAAAACTAAAAATCCAAGTAAATTCAACATAAAAGAAGCCTTTTTTGCACAATTACTGAACTCAAGATACCCAATATAATATTGAGCATACAATCACAATAAGAACACCAAAAGGTCTAGAATTTTTTTAAAAAAACTTTCAGCTTACCTAGAGAAAGAGATAACTGAGATAGGACCGTCAAGACCGAGAATTGAAAAAATATGGGAATAAAACTTCAAACCTTCGGGCGGTTTGGAACAGCTTACCCTCGTAATGATTTTCAAACTTCAGACTTTCCTCCTTCCTTCTTTAGCTTTAGACCACTGTCGGTTCCTCTAGATTTGCAAATGGGTCGGAAAAATTTGAGGTAAAATTAGAGAATACATTTACCACAAAAAAAAGGAATTGAGATTTAAGCACATACCTGATGGAGTCACAATTTGTAATTAGGGCTTTTGAATCTCTACCATATGGTTCACATTTTGTGATTTGAGTAGATAGATTTGAGACATTTGAGATTTTCGACCGGAAAGAACATTGAGAATTTTACAGAGAAGGAAGAGAGCAAACAAGTGGTACTGCAGAAAAGAAATCGAGCAAAGAGACATTTGATATGTTTGAGGTCTTTTGATTAAGAAATTTATTTTTTATTTACTCTTTTTAATTTAATTATTCTATTAGTGGAGACTAAGTCGCTCCTAAATGTTCTTTTGCGACGACTATTAATTGGTCGCTGCTAGATCTTTGGAGCCAAAATTTTGGTCTTACCGGGAAAGAAAAAATCAGTAATTAGTAGCGCATATTAGAGGCGCCTTAAATAAGTCGCTGTTAAAAGTTTATTTTCAACAACAACTTATAAAGTCGCTCCTGAAAGTATAACATTTGTTGCAACACATCTAGTCGCCACTAAATATTGTTGCAAAAAGTCCTATTTCTTGTAGTGGTTGTACTGATTCATGATTATGAGGCTGAGGGTCAGTTTGATTATACCACGAGATGGCTTGTTATAGGGCTTGGGATGTAGTAGCCCCTCTAGAGTCTGCACACCCCAGTGAGTGCGTGTACCTAGTGTGAGATGTGATATTGCCCGAGGGGATATTATTGTTTCATGTCATTGCCCGAGGGGCTGATACGAGTGATTGTGAGGTAGCCCGAGGGGCTGGTTCTGTTGGTAGTTTGCCCGAGGGGCGGTTATGGTACTTGTTTTGCCCGAGGGGCTGATTTATGTTTTTATCCTTTTCTCGCTGTTTTCATCACTCGTTTGAACTACTGAAAGATGTTTTAAAAAGGTTTTTACTGAACTGAGATGTTTTTATGAGTTTTACTATTTTACTCTATTGTTCTGGACTTATACTGTTTTGTTGTAGCATTATGATATGTTTTACGCGTTTTCTTACTGCTCAGCTGCCTTTACTTTTATTACTTACTGAGTTGGCATACTCACATTACTCTCTGCACCCTGTGTGCAGATCCTGGAGTCTCGGGTCACGCTAGCGAGTGCTGATTTGCCTTCTTGCAGGCTTGTTCGGAGTTGACAAGGTAGTTGTTCGGCATTCGCAGCCCAGTGCTTCTCCTTCCTATCTTTATTTCGCTTTGTACTAGCTTTGTTTCAGACTATGTTGTCTTTTCATATTTCTAGACGAGTTGTAGATGCTCATGACTGGTGACACCCCGATATCAGGCTGTGTTTTGGTTTTCGTACTATTTTATCCTACTTTATACTATAGGATTTTAGTTTGTTAATGTCTTTAAATGACTTATTATAATTGTTTGGTTGGTTTGTGGTTTGTGTCGGCTGGCCTAGTTTTACGATAGGCGCCATCATGACCTGGTCCGTTTTAGGGTCGTGACATTTCTGCATGTGTCTTTCATCATTGGGAGTGTACGAATATTTAGAACAAAGTTTTATTAGATATGAGGGTTGTTTTACCAATATCGGGTTTGTTAATGAGTAGCTATGGTGGTCGAAAATTATTGGCATGTGTGTCTGAGTTATATGGAATATCATGTGATTATATTTGGAATATATTTATGACTTGATACAGCTTGTTCAGACTTATACACTATATAAATGCAAGAATTGGGTCTTATAATGAATTTCAGATATTGGAGATTGGGTTCTAAGATTTGTGGACTAAGGTAGAAGTAAGGATCTTCAGTTAGGTTGTGATTTCGGGTTTATATCGATTGGGATGATGTGTGATTGCCTAGGGGTATGTGTATGTTAAATTATACAGTGATTTGATAGCTTTGGAACCACTCTTGGCACGTTTGAGGACGAACTTATGTTTAAGTGGGGGAGAATATAACGACCCGATCGGTCATTTCGAGTATTTACATTTTGTGCAATGGTTTGAGATCTTGAGTAGCTCCATATGATGTATTATGATTTGCGTGTATGGTCGGATTTGATTTTTGAGTGATTCGGTATTGATTTAGAAGAATGATCCTCAATTTAGAAGCTTCAAGTTTGAAGAGTTAACCAAGTTTGACTTTTGTGTATTTGACCTCAGACCGGAGTTTTGATGGCTCTGTTAACTCCGGATAGTCCTGGATTTTCATTTGGATGTTTCTAGAAGATTTTGACTCAAATTGGCAAAAGTTGAAAATTTGAAGATTTGGAAAGTTCATAGGTTTGTCCGGAAATTGACTTGATGTTATTCGAGTTCGGGTTATTGTTCAAAAGTGGGAATAGGTTCGTTATGTCATTTGGAACTCGTGTGCAAATTTAAGGTAATTCCAAGTTATTTATATGCGTTCAGCATAAGTTTGGAATTTGAAATTTTGAAATAGTTCATTAAGCTTGATTTGAGGTGTGATTCGTGGTTTTTATGTTATTAGTGTGATTTGAGGCCTCGAGTAAGTCCGTATTATATTTTGAGACTTGTTGATATGTTCGGACGGGGACCCGAGGGGCTTGGTGTGTTTCAAATTGATTTCAGACCATTTCCTTCATGTTTGGTTGTTAGTTTTTTGTCCTTAACCAAAATCCAACTAGTCGTGATGGCACCTAACCCAAGCCGCTGGGTAAGCCAAATAGCAACAATCCGATTTAAAAGAGATTTAACTGAAAAAATACATGATGAAAATAACTAAACTTTTATACCAAAAATCTCAAGAACTGGTAGTACAAATCATGAGCTTCTAAGATTTAAAGTTTTACAAAAATTGAACTAAAATAATTACCACATCTGTTTCGATTGTACAGGAACAATATTCAAATCTAAAGCTACCAAGGACAAGTGATAGCCATAACTGAAACGCGGGTACATCTTCAATGTCAGCTCCTGCCACAAACAACAGCAATAACTCTAAGATTTGCACACAAGGTGCTGAAGTGTAGTATGAGTATAGCCGACCGCATATACTCAATAAGTATCCTAACTAACCTCGGCGAAGTAAAAAAAGCAAGAACTATAGATGATACTCACTAACACCTTGCAGTTCATAATGTCAACAAGTATAGAACAAATACATGATCTAAATAGGAAATCTCAGGTAAGACCACTTTTATGCTCACAATTCTTTATTTTAAAGTGTTCTTCTTAGTCAACAATCTAGCATATAAGGAAGATATGCAAGTAAAATCAGGTAACAGTCGAGGAAATTTCAAGTAAAGATGAAATGCAATGACCAAATATCAGTCCGTTGCGGCGTGCAACCCGATCCAATAACAGTAACCAGCTCTCCCAGAGCTCCCACCAACCAGAAACCCGTCAGTTTCTCACGATTTGCGTGTACACCATCAAGAGAGAAACATGAGAGGGTGACCCTAGGGGAATGGATCCGTATCCACACGCTGCATGAAAAACTCACGTGCTGCACGGACAACTCACGTGCTAGTAATACCAACCGCATGGACAACTCACGTGTTGCACAGATAACTCACGTGCTAATATCAACATTTGAATCTGCATGGACATACGTGCTAATAATATCAATCCGCACAGATAACTCACGTGTTGCACGGACAACTCACGTGCTAATACCACAAGCCGCGTATCCGCCCAGCATGGTCACATGCATAATATCATAATCCGCCCAACATGGTCATAGGTATAACAACACAATCCGCTCGGCGTTGTCACATGCATATCAACAAAATCCGCCCGGCGTGGTCACAAGCATCCATTCAAAATCATATCACACTGAAGCAAGTATACAAGAACATATGTATATGAGGGATAAATATCATATTTCATGCTCTTGGACTGGTATAATAACATGCTAAAGTGAAGGCATGTGCAATGTGTGCTATCGTAGCTCAAATCGGTTATTTATCATAGAAATAGCAATTACCAAGTTCATTCAAGGAATTAGCCTCCTCGTATCTTCAAACATGGCTCAAATACTTCACAACAATGATACAAATATGAGAAATATTGTAGCTTAAAGCTTAACAGTCAACTATAGGCATATCATATCCCAAGCACTACCCTGAGCATGGATAAATACCATGTTCTCAAACATGGGCTCAAACCCCTCACATATGCGCACCCATAACACACAGCTACCACAAATAATTCAATCAACTAGTGCCTCCTCAAACAAGCCAATATAAATACTGAGAAAGTCAAGACACTCTAGAAATGTCATCCCGCATGTTTCCACCTTCGAACGGCTCAAAATAGCCAAAAAAACTCAAAAACATCAAATAATGACTAAGAAAACAATCCCAAATAATAAAGGTCGAATCATTACACTTTTACTCAAGTCAACCAAAAAGTCAAACCCGGACTCGTACATCGGAACCCAATAAAACTCACAGTATAATAATTCATTCAATTACGAGTCCAACCATATTAGTTTCACTCAAATCCGACTCCGAATTGATGTTCAAAACTCAAAAATTCAATTTACGAAATTTTAGACAAAACCTTCCAAATTTTACTTTGAAATCATCAATCAAATACTAAAAACAAATATGGATTCATGAAATATAATCAAAATCAAGTATAGAAGTGCAGATTTTTAAATACGAATTCAATGGCAATTTCGTAATTAATTTGAAAAAAAGTCTGACAACCCAATTCTTAGTAAAATGACTATAAATTCCTTATACGATGTCAAAACTTGAAGATTATAGTTGCTATGGTTCCAAAATTATGATACGGATATAATGTTTCAATCAAAATAGAAACTGGAGCTCATTTTCTTAATGTGGTACCATATATGCTTGAAGAAACGACGTCGCAACATCAAAAACTAGCGCAACACAAACCAAACCTATCTAAAACTCACCCGAGCCCCTCAGGATCCCGTTCGAACATACCAACAAGTCTCATAATGTAATACGGACTTACTCGAGGCCTCAAATCACGCATAATAACGTCAAAACCACGAATCGCACCTCAATTCGAACTTAATGAACTTTGAATCTTTCAACTTCCAAAACTCGTGCCGAACCTTATCAAATCAACTCAGAATGAACTCAAATTTTTCACACAAGTCCCAAATGACATAATAAAGCTATTCCAATTTCCGAAACCACAATTCGAACCCGATATCATCAAAGTCAACTCCCGGTCAAACTTATGAACAATCCAAACCTTCAAATTTTCAACTTCGCCAATTAGCGCTGAAACCTTCTAGAAACATACAAATGCAAAT